TCCCTGGGACATTCACAGATGACAAAAGATGAATTCAGATTGGCTGCTTGGCAAAGAAGGGAAGGGAAATTTACTCCGATTCACTCCACTTCTTGCACAATCCCTCCCTGACTTACTAACCAATTCAGTTAAGCAAACCTATATTAAGCTCTTACTCCTACTTTCCCCCTACTACCTGCAGGGCAGTGTTATTAGCTACAGATACAAAGTTGTACAATGAAAAGTTTCAGCCTACAAAGAGCTTGCTGTGTGGTTGGAGAGTTAGGCATATATACACACATAATCATAATAAGAATGGCTGAGTATTTACTTTTTCTTGCAGTTACTTCATCTAAAGATATGAAATCTGTGTGTCATGTATCAGGAGAGAATCATTTTGGTGCAAGTAACTGAAAGTCTAATTCAACTAGATTAAAGGCAAAAGGAATTCACTGACTTACAGAAAGATTTTCAGAATACACCTCATCCAGAATCTAGTTTTTCTTTCACCCTTTTTTGGTTCTACTTCTTCAGCTTCTATTCATTCTTGGTCAGTCTCCTTAATTGTGTTTCCAAGATGGCTATCAGTGTCTCCTGGGGCTGCAGACTTCCTCCTTCATGTCTAGTGGGAATGACAGGTTAAATTTTCTGGTAACTCAAACGCAGGTCCTTCAAATTAGCCTCAGTGGCCACAGTTGGCTTTATTTGGATCATTAATCCATCCTTGAACCTGATTGTAGTCAGAAGTTTGGAATAAGCCATTGGGCTTAAGACAATAAGGGCCCAGTTTTGCACCTAAAGATAAGGTACCATGCAATATACCATGGCTGATATATTGAAGGTCCTGTTTAGGAAGGGACAGTAGGAGAATAAATTCTGGGGAAGTAACTGCAAATAATCTCCCTAGCCCATGCTTTGTCATTAACCACTTATGAAAGACACTGGCACCCTTTTATAGTTGAGTGCTAATAAATATTTAACAGCTGGCTCTGTGAGAGAAAAAGCTCCCTTTGTAGCATTTGCTGATTTCCATGTTGTAAATACTCTCCCATAGCTAATGTCACTAGATTCAGAGTTGGGAAGACATGCACAATAGCACACCACTATACAGCTTTTTCATCATATAGATACATTAGGTGCAGACTACTCTAAGAGCATAGAAAATAGTAAAATGTAGTAAAATGATTAGAAAGAGATAAGTTTTACATATGCATTCCTTTTACTTTATTTAATTATAAGTTTAAATAACTTAATTTTTAACGACTATGTTTGACAACTGACTTACAAAATTCCCTAAAACTTAACAATTGGCTCTCATGAGCACCTGTTGGCAAGCTGGGCTCCAGCATGCCACAGCCTTCTGCACTAAACACTTCATCTTGTTCACCTTTTAAAAGATATTTATTTGTAGGTTCTTCATATGTGCCCAATTCCATCTTGGGCTGGTCTGCTAGAGTCAGAGTTAAGGTGGGCTTCTGAGAGTTGGCCTGAAATAAATGGAGCCAGAGGAGATGTCTAAGCACAGACATAGCAGACAGAAGACCTTAAAGAGTAAAATCACAAAGCACCATCTGCTGATAGAGACGCCAGTTGAGTCTAGGGGTCAAAACTAGAGACAAAGTTGAAGGGCAGGAACTGGGTAAATGTAAGAATGAAAGAGGACCTCAGAAACAGTGACCGGCCAAGTAAATAAGTGGGTGAGCACTGTCGTCCGATACCAGCTGCTTACATGCAGTCCTTGCCATACAGTGAGTGCCAGTAGGGTTGGCTAGCTTAAAACTTGCTTATCCTTTATCTTTTTCAGCGCACTTTAAAATCTTGTTTCTTTGGTCCAGTTACCACTTTAGAGAGAGAAGCAAGAATTTAGGCTGGTACTGTGAGCCTAGAGACCTGTAAGATTCCTTAAGTTCTGTGATATCCACTTGCCAAAGGTTTTTGTGATCCCCTGACTATTTCTGAATATGGTAATAGTAGAAGTTTTCTAGAAAGGGAGCTTTTATGTATTAAGTATAAAGAGGGTTGAAGAGATGAGCTTCCACTAGAAACCCAAAAGGAACTTCTGAGAAGTGTCAGCCTTCATTCCCAAGTCCCCCTAAAAGTGTCAGGCTGAATTCCTGGACCATGTCAAAGAAGAAGAAAGAACAAAGGGAATTAGCCTGGACCCGAGTAGGGAGTATGGAGTGAGAGAAGCAAAGAAAAAAAAAAAAAGGAGACAATGAGAAGAAGGACACAGTATTTAGCAGTTTGGGGATTATTTTATCAATTGACAGGTAATCAATAGCACTTAGTGAGCAGCTATTATTTACAAAGGGTGCGAAGGAGAGAGGAAGAGAAATGTGTGAGAAAGAGAAGGGAGAATTAGGGAAGGAAGGAAGGTAACAAGCAAGGAGGAAAAGATGGAAGAAAGAAAAGAAGGGAGAGAGTAGAATACATTTTGATTATCTACTCTGCTGTTTATTTGTCACATTAATTCAGTGAAGTGGTTATTATTATTATTTGCCATAAGAATATTGGTTAAGGAAAGAGGAGAATTAATTAACAAGAACAATCACAAACAGGCTTCCCATCAAATGTAAGGACTAAAACACACCTATGAAAACATAGTGAGAATACCTATGGAAATAAGTATGATGTGAGAAGATCAGTTCGCCCATTCTTTCTCTATTAGTCAGAACAGGTTATGATACACTGTGGTAACAAACATCACTAAAATGCTTACACCAAATTCAAGTATACTGCCAGCCAAGGTGACTCAGTAACTCATTA